GATCTGACTATAAAAAATTACAAATACAGTTAACACCTGAAAACATTCTTAATAGGTTGAACCTGTTACAGATTGATGCTGCAATAGATCTATATTTTATGAAATAGTGTTTTATTTTTTAAACAGAGTGCCTTATGCAACAGAAGAAGATGCTGTGAATGCCAGAAGATTAAAAAAGTCTGTGACATTATTCACAACTTTTGACTGGTCTAAAGTTCCTCGTATTGAGGAAAGGAGACAAGCTGAACATCCATTTGATTCCCCAGAAATTATAACTCATGTATATCGGTAATAAAAATCAGTTTTTGTGGACTGTAACAGTGCACCTTCTTTTCTTTTTTGCATTGGATATTATCTAAGAAGAATGAATAATTAAAACTTATTTAATTTTGTTGCCACAAATATTCAGAAAAACAATTCTTGGTATAGAATTGTTTGCAAAATGAATGGTCTTCAGTAAATCTGATTTAACTTAAAATATTTTTTTTTTGCCTAATGTCCATGTAATGAGGTGTTCTGATTCATTTTGTACCCCACCTTTAATCTTGGATAGTATTTACCTGGCACAATTACAATCAAGTATCAAGCTGAGTATTTTTTGATCTCATAAAACCATTAAAAACTTCAAAACCATATCTTGCTCCATCCATACAAACTTTTGTAATTTGGAAAAGTACTTGAATCAACTGCAAGTGCAATGTTATATTTATGGTATTTTTATAGTGAGACATGATATGCTGAAGAGGTATGAAGTGGACCATCATGCTGGTAAACAAAAAGGTACATATCATACACCAAGCAAGATGCTAATATATTTGGTACAGTCAAAATAAGGTGAGATGAAATCAGTGAAAAACCTTTCTGAATCATAAAAGTGTCATGTAATGTTTAGCTTTTGAATTATATTCCACAGTAATAGTCTGAAAAAAGTTTTAAAGTTTTTAAAATTAAAAAAGTCATATGTAAATAGTATTTTTAATGTCGGTGCTTTGATTGCATTTTTATTCAAAAGCTAATTTGAACATTATTATTAGCACTATTGGTTTTATTATTAGAGAAGACATAACTACACTTCTCCCTTGATAACTCACACACATCAGGGTCCAGAAACATTGACTGCAATATACGCGAGGGCACGAGTTACTGAGGGACCTACCAAAAATCCTCTAGACAAAAGACATCCAGAGAACCGCGGGGTTTCAGGGGAACTGGGCTCTTTACTGATTGGATCATTGTTTTATAATCACATCAAGAATAGTTGTCAGTAAAGGGCCTTTTTTGATGAAGCTGTTCGTTATTCTGTATAAAAAACATTTATTTTCATAATGTCCAACATCTGAAAGATATGTTTCCAACTGGTTTCAGCAACCAACATTGTATGCGAAAACATTTGTGTATTACGTCACATCTTTTTGTGTTTGTTGCTTAGTCTGGTCCTGGGGTGGCAAGTAATAGTTTTCTGTAAACAAGGAGTCTACAAAGCTGTGAATCTGACTAACTGTTGCTAAACTACCAAACAAGATTCATTTTTATAAAAAAAAAACACACACATTTCGTACGACAATCATCTATGCTGAAACTGAATTTTTGAATTGTTCAATTAGTAAAATATTAATGCCGTGATTTCATTGCAAGTAACAGTGAAACTTCTTATCATCCTTGAAACTATCTGTATGTGCAAATTCAGGAATTTTCTGAAATTCATTTTCCCCACAATGATCGATATCTGTGACACAAAGCTCTTTGTTTTACAGAGTACTCATTTTGTTTGATTGGCTTGCTCTCTTTAATCAGTTATGATTGAGTAGGTTAATTTTAGGTTGTCTAATTTGATTACTTGCACAATAACATTTATAATGGCATTTGATTGATCAACTGAAATGAGTTACCCAACATGACTGGAGCCGCATGTAGGATCTGTATGCCTTTTTAATTTTTTGTTTATTCCACTTCCTTTATTTGATTCAAAACATGATAATAGAAAATGAGGCTCGATGTTTATTTAGTGCAACATTACACTGTTTCCACTAGCCTGATATCAAAATATGGTCGGCACTTAATTAGGTTATCTGAGAAACACTTGCGGATGCTGTTACAGTAGATCAACAGATTCAACACATTCTACGTTTAATTACAACAGGAGTTCATGAGTTATCAGGGTACGAGTTATCGTGGGAGTGGTGTATAGTGCATATCAACATGTTCCTGTATGTGCAGTTACTCAGCTTAAATGAAATATTGTTATTCTAAAATTTTATACTAATATAGTTTAACCAAAGTCTATTATGATTGTTGAATACTCCATATCTTAAAAGTCATAAAAAATCCTCATGACAAAAATATTGATCACTATGGACTTTTACAATGGTGGCTAGGTGCTAAACCGTGTTAAAAAATGTAACAAGCACAAAAACAAGGCAGTACACATTATTTAACATGTTTGGCTTTCATTGTGACATTACAGTGTGGGCATTCAATCCAGTTTCTACTTGATCACATCTCTAGCTGGACCTTTTCATGTACTTTGACATTGATTTTACAATACATGTATGTAGTTCTTTGGATGCACATATATAAGGAATATGGATGTATGAGGGTAAAAATAAAGTGATTAATCACCATTTAAAGGTATCTGTAATTAACTTTTAATATATGACACAAACTACTAAAAATAGTTTGTACTGAATGCTTACAGAACCTGTATGTCTTGTACTTGTATAACGTGTAATCTATTAATAATATTCAGATTACTCAATAACATTATTTTTAAACAATCAATACACCTAAAAATATAAACATTTTACAATAATGGTTGATAAAATTCAAAATAATTTTAAAACTAAGCAGTTTAATCAATATTTAAATCACCAAATTGTTTTAATAACAATAATAATTTATATATTTACTTAAAAATTTACTTGTATCAGTTATTTTTGTTCTTAATAATAATAATGATAATAATAAAAATTATAATAATTGTGTATCTACATTACATATTCTTTTAAAGTATTAGTCCATTGCAGACATGCTAAATATTTAGCAGACATGGACTAAATGCATTTTTAGGATAAGAACGCACACACACACACTGAGCTTACACGTCACTGGTTTCATCTCTTATTTTAATTGTAGCCTTTATAGCATCATGTAGCCAATCCATCTCCTAAAATCAGTATGGATTTAAATGTGATGATTTATTTTTCCTAATTACAAAAGAATGAGCAGATATAGCAAGGTATGGTTTGAGAGTTAAATTCATAATGGATCAGATGTTGGCTAGACCTATGCATGATGATCAATAGTGTTTTTTGTGAAAATTTACAAAAGTCAAATGCAGGGGTTATACTCAGCAAGCATATGAATGTAGGCAAGATGCTCAGTTAGGGAGTGTACAATTGTTCTTTATGTTTGGTGGGAATATGTTTTCTTTATCTAAAGAATATTATAATGTACTCTCAAGTGGTGTAATGGTTTTGTCAAATTTCACTAGCACAGCACTCTGGAGATAGAAAATATTTGTTCTAATTCAACATATGTCCACCACTCCATGTTTCATATGATCATCTCCTGTGTTTACAATTTACCCACTGTACATGTATAAAAAGCATTTTGTGAAACAAACTTTTAAATTTGAACATACTAGTGTAGTTTTTCTCCCTGGAAAGCAACTAATCCGCTTTTTAGCTTATCCATAAATCTTTCCACAATATTTACAGTCCTTGTGAAAATAAAACCTTTTATAATTTTCTAGTTTCATGAAGTGCATGGCATTTACAATGGCATGGTATATGCAACACTTTCTTCAGAAAAAAATTATATTTAGAATATCATGACCAATAATTCTGAAATACACAAAACAGTATGTCAAACTGAAACTAAACTTGGTGCTGGTAATAAAAAAACTGTTGTTCATAAAGTTTTCCATATTCAAAATCAACTTTCATTTACATCAAATAGACCATTTATAACTTTTCTCCAAGTTTGAATGTACACTCAAGTCAGAGTTTTGTGAATATAATAGGTCACATGACTTTTGTTCAATTTTGCAAGAAAGTACATACAGTATTATACTGCCATCAAAATTAGATTGAGTATTTTTCAGAAATAATGTGACTTTTGTTTTAAAATGTACATGAATACAGTAAAACTTTTTTAATTCAAACATCAATCATTTTAATGCTCAAAATATTCAAATAATTGGTATCACATCTACTGTGTAAATGTGTATCTCTCTATAAATATATACTTAAACCATTTCCTCTGTATCCAACCAGCCACTGCAAATAGTAGACAGTACAAATGACCAGTGTACATGGAGTATTCTTGGGGATTAAAGATCAAAAGGTGAACTGCTTGCAAGTGATTATAATTTCTTTTTCTTTTCTGAAAATGAAGTACAAAAAAAAATGTCCTAAGGATTTCAAATATGATAACTGGATATGACCCAGAATGATGTTAAAATGTTACAATAGGGATTAGTTTATCTGCTTAATTAAGGATATAACTGGTGCAAAATAGCAAGAATTTTCTCTTTAAAATTGTAGCCGATTTGCAGCTTTATTAAAGGACTTCATGTAAACTGTCACCACAGAGTGTAAATGTCTGCTCTAAGTTTTGATAATCTTGATACTTAAAAGTTTAAATACTTTGGAATTCTGTGATATGTGACAAATATAGATACTCAATATATTTGTTTGGCTGATTATTCTCTGAAATGGAAATAAAGCAGATTGAAAGCGTATGGTGTTTTGTTGATATCAAGAACTGTATTCATTTTTTTGAAACCTACATTACTGAGAATTTTGATAGTGACAATCACTATTGTGCAGATATGTGATGTGATTATGATTTTTAATGTAGCTTTAAAGATTTTTCAGTCATACTGCTACAATGTCTGCAGTGTGGCATGATGTCCCACCCAGTCACATTATCCCGACCAGTCATAACACTATCCATTTAATGTGAGGCAGCTGTTAGTACCATTTTATAAGTCTTTGGTATGACTCAACAAGGGACTGAACCTATGACCTCCCACATCTGAGGTGGATGCTCTAACCACTAGGCCACCGGAGCAGTTCTGTGCAGATATGTAGCAAAGAGTTCATATTTGAATTTTGAAATAATTACTTGACTACATTTTCATGATACGAATCAAACACCATTAATGGCACATTTTAGTTCTCTTTGTTGGCACAAGTAGATCACGGTTGAGATTACTGAGCAGAGTCTCAATGGCCTGAACCTTTGGTCAAATGTTCTTTTGAACTAAATTGCAGTATAAAAAGCATGTCTTATTCAACCTAAAATGCCCCTAACCTCTGACCATTAAACCTAAACCTCCATAGATTCTTTTATTACCCTAACACAAGCCATATGCAAAATGTGATCAAGGAACTTGCACTAGAACAAATATGATTCATCAAAACCCTTTTTCTTTTAATCACAATGACCTTGATCTTTGGATCTTGATTTTAACAGACCTCTTCCATGCATAAAGTGCAAGAATTCCACAAACTTTGGTCAAAGCATGTGATCAACAAAAAAGCATTGTGCAAAAACTATACATACATGTATATATTCTGATGACCCCCTCCCCCCATCAAAATGTCTTTCCATTTAAGAGTATTGAAAACAATAATTTTAAGATATCCACATACTGAATCTCAAATCTGCATAATTTTTATTTAGGGTCAACAAAACATTATAAGCATCCTTTTAGTTAATACCCCATGCTGCTATGACCATTCATTCATGGGCAGTGATACAAAGATTTTAAAGCTGGCCACTGCAGCAGCCAAATTAGACCTTAATACCATTTTCATTTAAAAACACTATATTACAGTCTCTTCAGCAAAAGCATCAATAAAAAAAGATTTTCAACATGGTTGCTGTAATCGCTATATTAGATATCAGATTGGCACACAAGTCATTTAGGACCAACTAGACATTATAAATTTTCTTTTAGTGAAAATTCATGTTGATATGAACATCCATTCAGGAACAATTGTAAGATTTTAAAGAGGACTGATTTGACAGAATACTGGATATTAGAATGAGTTGTCATTTAGGACCCTATAGATATCACAAGTCTTTCAGTGAAAACCTCATGCTGATACAACCATCCATTCTAGACCATCAAGAATTGTCCTGATATCCATTGTGTGGCTGCCATACTAGATTTCAGATTGGCACCATGTTTAAGACAAACCTGACATCAAAATAAGTATTTTGGTGAAAACACCCCCATGTCAAAATGAATAAAGATTTTCAAGATTGCTGCCGCAGTAGACATCAGATCGGTGCTTTTTTTATTTTATAGGACCAACTTGATAACAAGTCTTGTATTAAAAACACCATTTTTATATGATAATTCATTTGGGAGAAGTGACAAGATTTTCAAGAAGGTTGCTGTAGTGACCATGTTGGATGTCTGAACAGCATCATTTTCATTTAGGACCAACTATATCAAGGAATGAATGCGTTTCAAGTTTCATCAGAATTCTCCAAGTAGTTCAGGAAAAGTACTGATAACAAACTTGTACTAATGTATGAAGAAGCATCACAAAACTATTCTGGTGTCTGACTAGTAAAACTAAAATGTAGGAGAAAGACCAATGTGTGACAAAAACCCCAGAAAAAACAGTTTGGTTGTGTAAATTTGCATTTATTGGTAAATTTGCATTTATTGAATTTTTTGGGCACATGACTGGTTATACTTGGTGGCCAGTATATTTGATGGAGAAGAGTCAGGGAACAGCCTGGGGTGAACTACTGACCCACAGAAAACTATTGGAAAGCTCTTTCACATACCTATGTTGGCTAAGTTGATACTCAAACCCATGAGGTCAGAGTTAAGATGTCAGTGATCCATAAAGTGGAGCATCTTAAACTACTTGGCCATACAGGGTTACTGGAAAAACTTAGGCCACTGGTGGGACTGTAAATATGTCACCATACAAGAATATCATTTTACAAAACTAAAATCGCAGGAAACTTGCACATTTTAATACAGTTGAGTGCATGTGACATGTTCAGCTTATCAGAATTCAAGATAATTTTTTTGGAATACAATTTTATTCTAATGATTGCAACAATAAATCCAGCAGAAAAGTGAAAGCACAAGTCTTACCGTTTCTTTATTGGTAAGGCATGAAGCAACTGGCCAATCCTGAATGTGAAGTTGGCCATGTAATTAGTCTACTGCAATTTTAAAACTAGTTTTTGACTGGTTTTATTGACAAAATAAGCAACTTTGTATAAATGCTTCTTTTCCTTATTTGAACAATTAAACCCTTTCATGACATACAAATTGATTTAAATAAATATCCCACTGACAGGTAACTCAAGACTTTTAAACCTTGACTTGGAAGGCAGGATTATAAGCTGCCTATTAAAATAATGTGTACATTATTAAGGTGATACATCAATATCCCTTTTCTAATGGAGATCAAAAACATGAATGGCTAACTTGAGCACAAGATGTTTCATTGATTACACTTTCCCATGCACTTAATTTTTCAGTTTGTGACAACTACAATTCTTTTGGAAACAATGACCATAACTAGATCTATGTTGTGTAGGAGACCAAACCTGTGGACTTTTCTACAAGGTCAACTATAAAAAAATGTAGATCTCAGTATGATCTACTCTTAAAACCTTAATGAGTGCATTATTTATACCTGAGAGTAGCAACAGGTGATGACAATGTGCTTTCAACACATATGATAGTGGCAATAAGTGACAACAAACAATTGATGATCACCGTGAAGAGACTTTTATTCATGCCAAAAAAGACAAATCTGCAAGTTATTTTTCACATACACCATCCAGATATTCTACCAATAATGGAATATGAGACATGATAGCTAGACATGACACGATCAAGATTCAGCTGATATCTGTCAGTCTGTTGGACAGAGGTCATCCATGAAGAAAAGACTCTAGACCTGTGCTGACATCTTACATCTTTAGCTTGGTCCTTCTCCAGTGACGCCTCTTAGCATTGTATCTGAAATATCAAAGATATGTTGTCAACCAGATGATTCTAATGATTGCTAATACTTGTTAATTAAGCTAGGGCACTAAATTTATCTCAACTTGTAAATGCATAGTTAAAATGGAAAGTAAGAGACAGAACAAAGTCTTAAATTGGCCAGTTGGTAAGTCCTTCCTAATTCAGAAGCATCACAACATACCTAAAAGTGATATCAATTACAAGTTAATTTAATACTGAACATCAACTTGGTGCAATTTTGGAGGGCCAACAGAACTGTGACGATTTTTTACAAGCTGTCAAGACTTAAATACCCCCTGAATGGCATACACCCTTAATGGCAGAGTTGAGGATATTGTTAAATAGAGAAATAAATAACATGGAGGAAAAGACAAGGCTTAAAACAAAATGGCATCACCTTTGTACTGTGCCATGAACCCCTACCCACAATGGCTTACCAAACTTTAATACACAATCCGATTACTATTGATGTCAGTGGCATCACCGCTAGTAGTGAAGTGATGCCTATGGTCTACCAATATGTACGCTGTCAAGACAAAAACCAGCAACCATATATAGCTATGCTTGCTTGAACTTAGGATCAAATTCAGAATTTCTATGTATTTACCCATACATGCCAACCCCTGTCGAGGAAAAAGAGTAATCCAAATGGACAAAAAGAGTAATCAGAGCAGAAAGAACGTAATCCACATATTACATAATAAAATTCAATGTGCATATATGTACAAAACACATGTATATTTTCCGCAATTTTGGCATCAGGAAGCATCCGTTTAAACAAAGGACCGAAGTTGTATTCTACTACTAGTTGTAGTCTTCTATTAAGTGCTCGGCAAATAATGCCCCTGCAGTTATAAAATTCGTTTCCACAATTTAGTTCTGCTGCAATCAAACAAAGTTACCTTAGTATTGGAGTTAGTAAAACAAGCTAATTCAAGGCATCTTTGTTTTACACTATGAACAATATTAAAATCCTTTCCACACAGCCTGCAATAGGCGTGAAGCTACCCTAGAATGGCACTGTATTGTGTATTGTATTCATGTATACATCTTTGAGTCATTTTATCCATTGATTTTTTTCCTAATCCATTCTGTAAAATCATTTAAGAAACATTTTTGTGATAACATACACATCGACTAGAATATGACGACTTTTGCCGCTAATTCCTACAGAATGGTTCTGTACCTCATATTATTTTGAACAAAGAGTATGTGAACAAAGATATAAAAATTTTTTTTGAAAATCAGTCTGTTATGTCCTAAGCTAGACAGCTGCTATAAATAGAAAGAAAACTTGGAAATAGGGCAACTGCTATAATTAGAACATAACACTTTGGAAGGTCACAGCTAGTCTACAGACAATTGTACTTTTATGTCATAGTTACACAGAAGCCGTCTTTTCTAGAATATGTTATGTGCGATTAGTGGGATGCGAACAAAAATGAGTAAAATAAATAAATTTTGGGGGGGAGGGGGATATATTAAACAAGTGTAAAAAATATGCCAAAAGTGTAATGGCTGGCATGTATGTTTACCTGATTGTGTTACCAGTCTTCATTCTGACCCACTGAGGAATTGGTCGATTTTGCTTTTGTTTCCTTGCCAGTCGCATCTTGATTCTGAACGATTTGTGTGCACCCTATAATACAACAATAATACTTCAGTTAGATCTATTTGAATAACCATATTTCATGCATTAGCAGAAAATCAGTATCTAGTAAGGAAAAACTTTGATAGCACCAAAAGTTCAGTCGACAGTAACAATTATTTGCAACTATGTTTCAAACACGAGGTCCAAATGGACCTGACATCACACACCTGATTTTGACACATAATCCAGCCAGATATCTTTAACATTGGCAAAGTTATGTTGTTTCAAAGTGCACAAGTCATTTTGCTTTACAACTCCAAAGTTACTTAAGTTAGTGTTGAGGACTCTATGCCTACAAAGTTACTTAGTGATGAAAGGGTTAAAGCAGATGTTTAGATTGGAGGCGGGGAGCTGCAAATAAATTGAAATTGTTTAAATTTTAAGCCAAAAAGTGAAATTTTGAAAAAG